AGGGCAAGGCAAGGCACCAGAGGGCGAGAGTCGAAGGAATGGGAAGCCCCAGGCGCCGAAGCCCCCAGGAGTTACGGGCACAAGACGGGTGTCCAGATTCGGAGCAACTCCCCAGCTCAGCAGGCCTTGCCGGCCTCCTCCTGCGGTGGAAATGAAACACCTTTTCTAATCACTCAGCCGCGTAGGAACCTATCATCACACCCGCAGCCGACAGACCTGACCTTCCCCGCCAGGGAGGCCAACCTCCACGGGGCGGGTGCCGGTCTCTGCTCCGGGCCCCCGTGTCCTGTCGCTCTGGTGGCCAAAACAGCAGCGGGCCACAGGGAGCGACGTACAGCGTGGTTCCCTGATGAATCGGTCTGAATGGGAGGTTTCCACAACCACCCACCCCTGGAGACTCCACTCCACTCCTTCTGTCTGCCTCCAGGGTACTGTTTCCACAGGCGGGGGCTACCCGGGGCCCAGCTCTGCAGGACGCACACTCCTCCACCTCAAGGCACGGGCCCGTCTTTATATTCCGATCAGCCAGTTCACCTTCACAAAGTTAAGAGGCAGCACACACGTCTAACGTGCCGTTATGTGGCAGGACCTGCAGCCAGGGAAGACTCCTGGGTCCCCAGGGAGACCCCCCAATGACGCGTGCTCCTCTCTGGTCACTAGCCGTCTCCTCCTCACCTGGCCTAGACCTTAGGGTCAGTCGTCGTTTTTGCCATTGCCTGCAAGGCACCCTCACTTGGCCAAACAACCGCCCCGGCTCACGCAGCCCCCACCCAGCCCACACCCGCGGCCACGCAGGTAGACAGGGCTCGACACAATGCACACCGCCGCGCCCCGTGGGCTCACGGTACTTGTCCGCTGCTTGCATGGACGTGCTGGGTTTGTCACTTGTTCCTTATATTAATGGTTTATTGTCTGCTGGCTCCAGGGGGGCAGGGGACTTTGCCTAGCTAATTCAAACGTCTGGCACAAGTAGGTACTCAGCAAATACAGCCGTGAATGGTGTGCTCCCCAACACGCGGACGGGGCGCAATCTGTGTGTTTAAATAGGGCAAGGAGGCACAGCCGCCAGTGAGGACTCAGGACAACTGGGCCTGCAGTCCTGTGGCGGATCAACCCTCTTCTCTTACTCACAACTAGCCTGTTCCAACGTCCTGTGGCCACGTTGGTCCAAAAGGCAGTCACGATACGGCCTCCTGCCTCACTACTCCACTGACTCCTGCTCATGGCCGTGACGCTGCCGGCCCATCGCCGTCTCTCCCTGGATCTCCCCGCTGGGCTCCTGGCCTCCAGCTTGCCCGCTGGAATCCAGTCCACCCACGGCACACACACGCAGCCCAGGACGCCCCCCGGGCTGAGCAGTGCTGCCCCTGCCCCATGCTTACAGTGCAGCGAGGAGAGGGGCAGGCACAGCCTTCCCAGCACAGATTCATACACTGAGAAAAGTCTCCAATTATTTTCCAATCCATTTGATGGAGAAGGGAGAAAGCCTCCATTCCATGCTGCTATGCTCTGGCTTCAAGCACGTTTTCATCTCCATCCTTGACTGAGAACCGGCCTCCAACAGAGGCTGTATGCACCGTCCAGCTCGGCCGCCACGGGTGGCTGTTTAACTTGAAATCTGAATTAACTGAAACAAAACTAAATAAAAAGCTCCGTTCCGTGGTCAACCTAGCCACATTTTAGGTGCTGCCCCAGCACACACGGCCGGCAGCTACCTACCAGCCTGCCCAGAGCTGGGATATTTGCACTATCACAGGAAGTTGCGCTGGCCGGGGCGGAGGGACGATTTTATTCCCGCTGTCCTGTTCTCATAGCATTTGTCTTCACCATTTCATCCCGCTTGTGATAGGTCATAGGTTTTATTTTCACTTATGGCAGCCGCATTTAGAACGCGTTAATTTAGACAAAAAGACAAAAAAGAAAGCAACTTGACTTAAAGGAAATTAACAGAGGGGCACCTGGGTGGCTCCATTGGTGGAGCGTCTGAGTCTTGATTTCGGCTCAGGTCACGATCCCAGGGTCGTGGGATCGAGCCCCGAGCTGGGCTCTGTGTCGAGCAAGATTCTCTCTCTGCTCCTCCCCTGCTCACGCTCTCTCTCTCTCTCTCTCTAATAAAAAAAAAATTTTTTTTTTAAGAAAATGAATAGAAACTAGAAACATTGGGAAAATGAAGGAACACAGACACAGGAGCAGGCGTGAGGGGGTTTCTGGAACCACTGACATTAGGAGCCCGGCCCCTCCCAGCATCCTCGCCCTGCCATGCCCACCAAAGCAGCGCAACGTCCCTGACGCGGAAGGAGGCCCCCACCGGCAGGGCCGAGTTCTTCCATTGCCCCTGTGTCCCAGGGCTTGCACGGGGCCCAGGCCAGAGGAGGCACCAGGCCTTAATGGCTGAATGAATGAATGATACGCTAGCCCTTACACGGCTTCAGGGCTTTACAGGTTTTAAGGGCTGTGGGCATTCACAATGCTACCGAATCTTCATAGCAGCCCGGGAGTGGAAACCAGGAGGGTGGCTGCAGCGGGCAGCCCAAGGGTAGGCCAAGCCGCCTGGGGCCAGGCCTCGGCGGCCTGAGCGCGAGTCCCAGCTCTGCCCCTGTCAGCCCAGCCCCCCCGTCTCCCGGAACCTCTCTTTCCTCATCTGTAAAACGGGCTGATGATGCGTAACCGCTTCGCAACTTTCACACCAACACGCACACCAGGCGAGCTCACGACGGCAAACGGCTCCGTGCACCGCACGGCACTGGGAGGAAGCACCTAGGACGGCCCGCTGCAGGTACACGCGAGTCCCACGCCCACCCCGTGTGCAGACCTGGGGCTCCCATGTGACTCGTTTCACTCTGCTAGGAAGCTGGCCCACACCTCACACCTGGCAGCCGACGTCTGGCTGTGTGGCCCGCCGTGGGGGCCCCCAACTGCTGGGGCAGTGCCTGGCAGGAGATCCCCCCCCACTGACCCTCTTCCAGCACCCTTGACTCAGGTACAGCCGGTGAGCTTCCTGGCCCCCACCCCAGTCATGGGTTTGGAGGTGCCCCTGAGGCCCAATCAGAGCCCATGGGGTGCCATCTGGGGGAAACATAATTGGGACAATTCTGGCTTGGTCTCTTGTCTCTTGTACTTTACTCTGGGAGGGCGGGACATGTGCCGCTGGCCCCCATTTGCCGCCACGTGGCACCTAAGACAAGCCTCTAGAGCAGAGAGCAGAGGCAAGAAGCAGAGAGAGAGATCCGATGACATTGTTTCAGCCCCTGAATCCACCTGTGCCTGAAGCCTTCTCACGGTCCATAAGTCAACAAATGCCGTTTTGCCTGAGCCAATGGGGATGAACTGTTCTAACCCTTGCAACAGAAGAGTCCCAACCAACTGAAGCTCTCCCATCGGGGAGGGGGTGGGACCTACCAGGCTTTCAGCCTGAACGGAAGGTCAGGCAGATGCCCAGCCCAGCCCTGTCCACCAAGCCAAATTTGAGCTTCCATTCCTTCCAAGCCGCTCCAGCCTCAGCTCCTCCTTGAACCTTTGTGACCATCCACCTCCACCCTCCAGGCTCATCGCACTCGCTCCCTCGGGGCAGGAAGGAGACAGACGCTTACGTTTCCCAACACGCAGAGCACCAGCTCCGTGCTGGGTGCATCTCGGCGGGGCTCCCTGAACCCTGCAGTCCCAGCGGGGAGGGGCCGGTGAGGAGTCCGAGGCTCCCAGAGATCTGGCTACTCACCAAGGTCAGCAAGCTTGAATGTGCAGAGTGAGACTCCCACAGAGAGAGGCTCACGTTGACCGCGAGGCCCCACATCTGCCCTACATCCTCTTGCTGGGCTCAGGAACAGCGGGTGGCACTCTCTGCCCCTCCGAGCCCCCTTCTCCCCGTTCCCAGGGTCTCCCTGCCCACTGGCCTCTGGCAGGTGCCTAGCTCTCGGCCCTCAGAAGTCGTTTGCTACCCTCTGCTTCTCCTTCAGACCTTCCAGGCTGCTCCTTCTGGCTCCCAAACGCCCTCCCGGCCAGTCCTAGCTTCTGCCCCGAGGGACACAACCCACTCTTGACCGGTGAGGCGGGAGCAATAGCAGGCATGACAGCCCGTGTTGGGAGCTTCTCATGGCAAGAACTGCCCGGCACCCCACACAGAGCGGACACCTGGAGACCGTCAGCTTGCACGAGAACTCTTGGGGGTGGGGGGCCTCGCACGCCCTGCCACTGCACACCTGAGAGGCATCCTTCACAAAGGGCAGCTGGATGTGAAGGTTGGACATGGGGATCCGGGGCTGGGGGGCCTGGGCTGGACATTTGCTAGGTGTGAGCTTTGAGCAGGTTAACTGGGGCTCCCCGTGACTCAGTTTCCTCATCTGTAAAGAAGGCCACGATAGCACCTACCTCCTGGGTTGTTGTCAGGGTGATGTGAGTGAACGTGAACACATGCTGAGGCCAGGCAGAGAGCCGCACTGTGTATGATTATTATTGTTGGTCTGCAAGGCCCGACACCTTAGCAACCCTAGCTGGTCTGTCCCCTGCGGCCCTTCCCAGGCCTGGCTTCTGTACAGAGTTCTTTCTCCACTTATCAGTGGGGTCAGGACTGCCCCTAGCTTGCCTAGACACAGGGGACCACCAGGCAGGGTCCCCCTTTGGTCCCATCCAACCGGGCAGGTGACACCTCAACTCTCACTCTAAGCCCTGGTTGGGACCCCGAGGCTGTTCATCAAGCACTGAAGCCCCTGCCTTGGGCCACAACCCAGGAGGGCTGACCCCAGGCCTCTATCTCCTCCGTGGCCCCTGATGAGGTCCCAGAACGACATGGAAAACTACCACCTGGAGAAGGCAAGGGGACGAACAGAACCCTCGGCAGCCACGGCTTTAAAGTCTTCATAAAGCAACTCACTGTGGTTCCGAATCCGGGCCTCACTCACTCACTGGAGACGTTGCACCAAAGCAGAAGCCCCCAAGTCGGCTCGCTTACAACTGAGCCAACCGCCCCCACCCAGAAGCCCCCTGCCCGCAGCTGGAAAGGATACTGAAGCTCCTATCGGTGATGGCCAGGTGCCAGAGGTTAATGCGAAGGTCATCTGCCGACATGTACGTCTCACAGTCGCTGTTGACGGAGATGGAATTGATGTGGTAGGTGTGGCCATTGGCAAAGACCCTCCGTGGGCTCACCTCCACCATCAGATCCATGGGCTTCAGCACGGGCACCTGCAGAGGAGGGGCGGTCCCCAGGGCGATAAGGTGATGGGGGGAGTGCAGGGGAGCCAGCAGCCAAGGCAGGAAACGTCAGGCCGGGGCCGCGTGACCAAAGCTGGAGGCTGGGAAGGTGCACATAAGCAGTGCCCTGTGGCCAGCATGCACTGCCTGCCAGCCCTGCAGGGAACCTTCACCTCCCGGGATTGGTTCTGAGCCTGCTGTGTGACTTTGAAGCAGTGGCTGAACCCCTCCGCACCCCAGGTTCCTCACCTCTAAAATGGGATGATACCGTGGCAACCCCAGCCGATTATCCACCATTTCTGTTCCCTCCTCGCGAGTGGTGGCCCGGACAAGAACTACGTTTCCCAGCTGCCCTTGCAATTTGGGTGTGGCCATGGGACTGGTTCTCACCCATAGGAATGGGAGCACAGGGGTGCCTGGCACTTGTGAGCCAAGGCTGTTCGGAGGCAGGTGAGTCTTCTCCACCCCTTTCCCCCTTCCGCTGCTGGAAGGTGAGGAGCCAAGCTTTGGGAATGAAGGTCCGTGGGATGGACGGAGCCTGTGTCTCTGCGGGACAGCCATGTGTCACCCAGGACCTTTCCATGAGTGAGGAGTACATTTCGGCATCTTCCGCCCTGCAATGCCGGGGCTATTTGTTACAGCTGCTGGCGTTAGCCTAACTCCTACAAACTCCCACCTTAAAGGGTTGGTGTCAGGGGCCCCTGACACAGCATTGGTATCGTGCCTGGCTTCCCTGTGCGCCCTCCGCCTGAAACGTTCACCCTCTTTGAACACGTGGTCGTGCCGACTCCTCCTGTAAGACCCAGACGCAGCAGGCCCGGAGACTTAGCCTGCCCTGGCAGTGGGGGCACGGGCCTGCTCACCCCCACCACCTCTCTGCTAAGGCTCTTAGCGTGTGCCACGGCGTGTGTCGGGCACGACGCTCCATTCCAGTAAACCGTGAGGTCTTCAAAGGTATGGAGACGGGCACACAGACACGGCTTCATCAGTCTCTCCCAGGCCTGGCCCACGCTCGACGCTCAGGAAGTAGGGACTAGCACTGCCCTCCCCACGTCCCGGATGGGGAGACCGGATGCCAAGATGACCCCGACTTGTCGAAGTCGCCGTCAGGAAATGCAGAGCCAGGTGTGACTGTCCCGAGGGCATCCCGGTGGCAGGGCGGAGACCAGAAACCCTCCTGCCCTGCCGCCCACTAGTGTTACCCTCACCGGGGAACTCAGCTCTCTGGGCCTCACCTTCTTTATCTGTGAACAAGGGCGTGCTGGCACCAGCTCAGCGGCTTCTACGAGGACCCACGAGTTAACGCAGGTCAAGTGCGTTTAGAATGGCGCTGAGCACATGATGAGTCCTCGTGATGGTCCTCCTCAGGAGGTGATGGGGTGTGTGTGTGTGGGGGGGAGGCCTCACACAGCCACGGGGGTTCCGGCGCGGGCCAGGGTGGACCCTGCTGCAGGGGCGATGGGGACTGCGTCCGGGAGAGAGGCAGCGAGGCGGCCTCCGCGTGTCGAGACCTTGGGATTCTGGAGACGGGCCGTGCAGATGTTGTGGACTAACTGCAGGCCTCCTGAGCCTGGGGCAGTGATGACCGGGTAGGATCCTGGGTGAGGACACACTGTGGTCGATGGGCTGCTTGTCCTCGAGTGGGAGAGAAAGACAATGACTGATACACAACTGAGAAGCGATGGTGTGTGTGTGTATATAATGTGTGAGTGAAGGATTTCAACGCGATGGCGATAGGTGTTAGAAAAAATAAAACAGGTCTTTGAGGATGGGGGTGACAGGGCCACGGGGGTGGGGCCAGGTTGGAAAGGTAGCCAGGAGGGGGCGTAGGGAGAGGGGCTGCCGTGGGCTGGGCGGCTTGGACTCAGGCTCACATAGGACCTGAGAATCTCCTCCCAGGGCACCTCCCGAGTCCACCTCCGAGCCAACCAGAGGGGCTGCAGCTGGAGTAAGCCAGTTTTGTCTTCCTGACCGCGTGTGAGCTGTCTTGTTCCTGCCTTGGCCTGGGAGCCAGTGAGGGAGCAGCTGGCAATGTCTTCCCTGGTTCACCTCTGGATCTCTGGTCCTCAGCCCAGGGCCCAGTACTCAGGTGAATGAGTTAACAGGTGAGCCAATGAATGGGCTGTGTCCCTCAAGCTCCCCAGGGACGGCTGAGATGGGAGGTGACAGCTTTGGAGCTGCAGTAGGGGTGGAGTGTTGAAGTGTTCAGCACAATGCGAGTATGGCGTGTGCCTGCGTGTGCACATGTGAGTTGCGTGTATGTGTGTATGAGTGAGGGGGTGTGCAAGTATGCACATGTGCTGGTGTATAAGTGTGTGTGCACGTGAATGTGGGTGTGTACGACTATATATGTGTGCGTGCATGTACATGTGTGTGCCTGCGTGTGCATGCATGTGTAAGAGTGTGTGCATATGTGCGAGTGTATGGAGTGCATGTGCACGTATGCATATGTGCAAGTGTATGGGTGTGTGTGTGCATGAATGTGGGTATGTACAACTATATATGTGTGCGTGTATGTACATGTGTGTGCCTGCGTGTAAGAGAGTGTATGCATGTATGCATATATGCGATGTATGGGTGTGTGTGCACGAGTGTGGGTGTGTACAAGTATATGCATGTGCATGAGTGCATGTGTGTATAAGAGTATATGCACATTGGCATATGTGTGGGTATATGAATGTGGGTGTGTACAACTATGTGTGTGTGCATGCGTGTACATGTGTGTGCCTGCGTGTACATGCGTGTGTAAAAGTGTGTGCATATGTGAGAGTGTATGGAGTGCATGTGCACGTATACATATGTGCGAGTGTGTGTGCACGTGAATGTGGGTGTGTACAACTATATGTGTGCATGCATGTACATGTGTGTGCCTGTGTGCATGCATGTGTGTGTAAGAGTGTGTGCATATGTGCAAATGTATGGAGTGCGTGTGCACATATGCATATGTGCAAGTGTATGGGTGTGTGTGTGCATGAATGTGGGTGCGTGCAAGTATATGTGTGTGCATGCGTGTGTGTAAGAGAGTGTATGCATATATGCGATGTATGGGTGTGTGTGCACGAGTGTGTGTGCAAATATATGCATGTGCGTGCATGCATGTGTGTATAAGAGTATGTGCACATCGGCATATGCGTGGGTATATGAATGTGGGTGTGTACAACTATATGTGTGTGTGCATACATGTACATGTGTGTGTCTGCGTGTACATGCATAAGAGTGTGTGCATATGTGCGAGTGTATGGAATGCGTGTGCACGTATGCATATATGCGATGTATGGGTGTGTGTGCACGAGTGTGGGTGTGTGCAAGTATATGCATGTGCGTGTGTGCATGTGTGTATAAGAGTATGTGCACATCGGCACATGCGTGGGTATATGAATGTGGGTGTGTACTATATGTGTGCATGCATGCATGTACATGTGTGTGCCTGTGTGTACGTGCATGTGTAAGAGCGTGTGCATATGTGCGAGTGTATGGGTGTGTGTGTGCACGAGTGTGGGTGTGTGCAAGTATATGCATGTGTGTGCGTGCATGCGTGTATAAGAGTATGTGCACACAGGCATATGTGTGGGTATGTGAATGTGGGTGTGTACCAGTATATGCATGTGCCTACGTGTGCATGTGCGAGCATGGGTGTGTGAGTGTTCATGTGAGTGGGGCACGCGAGTGTGCATGTGTGTGCATGAGTGTGGGTGTGTGCCACATTGGCACGTCGGTCTGCCTGGTTCTGGGCCATTCTTGTGTCGCCGGCTCTGTGCCTGAGCTTCTAGGCTCTCGGCCTGGGAGGTGATGTCGGTGTGCCCGGGCCTCTTAGGGGGCCGTCCGCCTTGCACATCTCCCCATGTATCAGCTATTCTGGATCAGCTCCTAATCTTCCCTTCCCTCAAAGCACAGCTACCATCTGCCTCGGGGACCCCTGGACTCTCTCACGTCGCACCTGCTGCTGGAGAAGGTCAGAGCGCCACTGGCCTCGCAAAGTCTTGGATCTCAGTCCACTTCCCCTCCTTCTGGGCACACTGTTTCCTCCCGTCGGACTTGGGCTACATCAGGGCTCCAGCCATTCACTGCCACCCCCAAACCATATTTCAAAGCCACTGAAAGCCTCTCCTTAAAGGAGACGAAGAGTGAAAATAAACATGCCCTGAAGGTTTGGGTGTCTCATGAATAAAACATTCCCCACCTTTCAACACTTCCAGAAGCCAGAGTCTAGTCAAGGTGAGAGGCAGGAGGGCCGTCACATAAACACTAAGGACAGAACTCTGTGGATACAGAAGGCTGGAGTGCGCAGAAGGATGATTTACAGAGGAGAAGGCGAACAGGGTTTTAAAGGATGAATAGGAGTATGCCAAATCAACAAGGTAGAGAAAGGCCTCCCTGTGCGTCTGTCACAGCACTGACCACCAGTGTGGGGTGACTCCATGTGCCTGACACCCAGGGACCTAGCACAGGGCCAAGGACAGAGTAGTCTGTTAGTAAATAACAGCGCCAGCCTCCAGCATGAGCGGCAGGGATCGCGTCAAGAGGTGCACAGGGCTGGGTGGCTTGGGTGACATGGGAGGACACACGGAAGAGGTGAGACGAGGAAAGACCCAAATGCCCTCGTTCCTTCTCCTTTCTCCCCCAGCCTCAAGGGACGGCTAAGGGCCATCTGGGGACGTGAGTGAAATACAGAGCAAAGTCTCAGATGCTGAGAGGGAAATAAACCCGATTCCCGTGGGCCCCCGGCTCTGCCGCAAATGCCAGGCCCATCAAGAGGTGATAATTGTATCCTTCCCACAGATGAAACCCTCATACACTTTCGTGGGGCTGGGGGGTGGGGCGGGGGACACCGTCCCTCCCATTAGTCAATGTTGAAGCTAATTGGCCTCCTGACTTCCTCAGAATTTATTTGCACAATTTGCGAGTCATTTAGGGGCCAGTATGTTTAAATATTTATTTCTCCATCTTGGGAACAACACTGATTACCGTTCCATATTTAACGACAATTTGCCGGACACCTAGGGAGCGCATATGCTAAGCTGTTTCAGAGAAGGTGAGTCACCGGCCCCATTTTGCGGACAAGGAGACTGAGGCACACAGCCCAGGGCCCTGCCTATAGCCACCTGACCAGTGTCGAGTAGACCTGGAGTGGCTGGGGAGCCCGTGGGAGGCGCTAACACCCCCACGCCGGGCCTCGCCACTGTCCGCCTGGAGCGGACAGCCGTCGTTGTGAATTGTGTCCTCCTCACCCAGGAGTACAGGCAGCTCGGATGATGTGACCCAGCCTTTCCACATTGGCTAGAACATGGAACCTGCCCGGGACTCAGGCCGCTTGCTCTGAGCCCGGCCTATCCCAGGAGCAAGGGACACCGACTCAGACCCAATCCCTCCCTTAGGCTCTTTGTTTCACTGAGGCCTCCCAGTGCCTAGAGCAGGGCTGGGCACATAGTAGGTGCTTCCAAGTGTGTGATGAATGAATAAACTCAAATTAGCCGTGCACCAGCATCACCTTCAACAAACGTGAACAAAGCACCCACTATGTTCCAGGCTCAGTTCTAGAAGCCAGGGACAGCCGAGATGGCCTCAGCAGGCTTCCTGCCCCCCTGGAGAAGGACAGGGGCAGACTTTCACGGAGTCCTCCAGCAGGACACCATTAACCATTCCCGTGGCTCTCCCACGAGGTGGGGGTCTCATTCCCGCTTCACGGAGGAGACCGGGAGGCCCATCCTGGAGCCCGACTTCCCTGGGTTTGGATTCAGCTCTCATTTCATCTGTAAAACGGGGCTGATGATCATGTGCCCACGTTCTAGGACTGAGTCATTACAGGCAGAGTGCCCGGAAGACACAACGCTCGCCACGGAAGTGCTTATTCTCATTCCAGATCAGCAGTCGGAGGCTCGTGGAGGCGGAGAGCCTTGCCCAGGGGCGCACCGCCAGGAGGAGGCCGAGGCAGGATTGGAACCCAGATCCTGGGACTCCACTACCCTTTCTGCCATGTCTCACACCCCTCCCCGGAAGAAAGAGGAGCTCTTTTGCCTTTTAAGCATGTGGGGACAGGAGGTGGCCTCAGCAAGGCCCTGCATCTTAACCTCCCCGGCCTCTTTTAAGACAACTGCATTGGGTCGAGCCTCCGTACCGGCTGTGGAGAACCGTGCCTTCCAGGCTTCCCTCGGTCCCTCGACAAAGGGCTTGGAATCCACACAAAGCTCCCCTCCCAGGTTCTCCTCTTCTGGCTCTGCCACTCATTCGGCGGAGTGGCTTTGGGGGAGTTGCTGCCTCTCTCTGGGCCTCAGTTTCCCCCTCGGTGTAGCAAGGGGTTCTAGAACTTGCTCTGCACCCACAGCTGCAGTTCACAAGCGCTTCCTGGACGTGCATCACTCCCGCCTCATCCGCACAACACTTCCGGGAGAAACATGACCATCCCAGCTCTTCTGGTGGGGAAACCGAGGCTTCCAGCAGGGAGAAAGCCCACAGCCACCCCACGAGTAAGCAGCCCAGCCAGGACCTGAACCCAGCTCTGGCAAAAATCTCAAAGGCCCTCCGAGTCCTAAAATCCTCCCCGTTTAACAACAGAAGCATGCGCCGCTTCCCGTTTGCTGGAACCTTCCGTGGTCCACATCTCACCTGCAGCGACGTCACCGTGGACAGGTCTTTAAGCTTCCCTTCTTCATCTTTTAGGTTATATCCCTCGGGCCTCTTATCTCGTTCTGTAATCTTCCATAACTTGATAGTTTTATCTTTAAAAACAAAGCAAATGAAACAGGATACGTGATGAACACCAGCACAGGGAACGGGCCACGAGGTAGGGGAGCGCTCATCCGGGAATCACCTGACCGGGGTCCTGCTCTCGGACAGGCAGGTTCTTTCTCCTGTGCACCCATGCGCTGAACACGGCCGTGAACGGGGTATCTGTCCTCGATCTCTGCCTCCTCACAACTGATCCCAAGGGACAACTCCCGGGTCAAAAGGGAAGGCACCTCTGAGGGCAGCTGGCCAAGTCTAAAGCCACGTCCAGACAGCATGCCACTGCAGTTTCTCACTTTTTAGGCTCTGCAGCGGCAGACAAAGGAGGGTGACCCACATTTCTGAGCAGCACCCCGCCCATCCAGAGGGCAGGTTCGCAGTGGCCTCACTTCTCTGAAATCCTGCCACAAATATCAGGAGGGTCATGTAGTAGCTGTGATGCTACCTTTTATACGTCAATGTGGCAAAGCCAGGCTACCCTGGTATCTGGTCAAACATAGGTGCGTGTTGCTCTGAAGGTTTTTTTTTTTTTTTTTTTTATTGGATGGAATTAACATTTAAACCCGTAGAGGAAAGCAGGCTGGCCTCCATTGTGCGGGTGGGCCTCATCTAATCAGGTGAAGGCCGTACAGGACAAAAGACTGACCTCCTCTGAGGAAGAGGGAATTCTGCCAGCAGATGGCCTTCGGACTCGAGCGGCCACGTTAGCTCTTCCCTGGGTCTCCAGCCTTCCAGCCAGCCCTGCACATTGTGGATCTGCCGGCCCCCACAATCATGTGCGACAACCCCTCAAAGTAAGCCTCTTTCTATGTATCTATATCTACACGTTACACCCGTCCACACGCCTCGGTCCCGTTTCTCTGGAGAACGCCAGCCGCTCCTGTGCCTCAAACACACACCGTCAGGCTCAGGAGAACGAAGAGGGAGACGACTGAGATGACTAAACCCTTGATATGTACCCAAAGACATGCGTTAGCAAAGGGAGCAGCTGGGATTTAAACCCGGGAGGTGGGGGGGTGGTGAGCAGCTCTGAGAGTGGGAGGGTAGGGAGCTTCTAAAGCTGCCTTCCCTCCAGAAGGGCAGGAGGAGAATGACGCACCCTGTTCCCACGGGTAGAGGGAAAGCACGCGTGCGGCTCAGGAGCTCTGGCCCTGCTCTAAACCCACTGTGGCTTCACATCACTCCGTCCTCCCAGGGCCCCCGCGAGGCAGGCACACCCATCACAGTTCAGATGGGGAAGTGGCAGGACCAGGATGTGAACCACATTAGGGTCTCCCGTCCTTGGGGAGGTCCACGCTGCCTCTGCTCCAGTGCTGGCTGAACATGACCCCGTGCCAGGCACCCCTGAGGGGGTCTCAGATCGTGCACGTGGCACAGTGAAGGACGAGGACAGCGGGAGCTCCTGGAGGGCAGGCCTGGGGCAGGGAGGGGCCGGGACCGACCGCAGGAGGGACCCCAGGCTCGGCTGAGACGTCAGCGAGGGCTCAGTGGAAGGTGACACCCAGTGGAGGTCTCCGGGATAAGGATGGATGGTAGGGCTGGGTGGCCAGGCGAGGGGCAGGGAGGGCAGCCTTTGGGCACAAGGCTGGGTCGGTGGGGTTGAGTCTGGGCCATTTCAAGGATGCCTTAGCAGCCGCACCGAGTCTGGGCTCTGATGGAGGAGACGGGTGGTGTCGCCTTGTGAGGCTCACGCACACTGCAGCAGGACTGGCTGGTCTCAGGGTGCTGGGGGGCGGGGGGGGGGGGGGGGGGTGCATCACCTCCCATCACCCTCACCACAACACAAGGGAGGGAGCTGCATGCACCCTGCTGCCCAGGTGGGGAAACCGAGGCTCAGGGAAGCAAGGAGTCTGGCCAGGAAGTCGGGGGCCTGGGGGCGCACGCGTTCTCCCTGGGGCAGAAGGGTCAGGTGGCCAGCCAGGCTCCTAAATCCGTGCCCGTCCTGCAGCCCACCCCACCCCCAAGAGTGGCAGCCGCACTCTTGCAGAAGACCTAAGCTTGCCTCCTTCACTGGGA